ATTAACTGATGACGTTTCGAGCACAAATTATTGCTCATAATCATATCAACTTACTCACACAACTTTTTCCTTCTTTTATATATATGTATGGAATCGACTAGATATTTGAATAAAAATCAATATGAGATAATGTACATTTAGAGATAATAATATGAGTGTTATTGATCAAATACAATTAGATGGGATGTTCTTATAGTTATAATAAGTAATTTTTTGGAATGTTATGATGTACGTGAATTGAAATAGAATTTTAAAGTTATTTATTATCCTCATCTGATTTGACTGGTGATAATAATATCTTCCATATCTCTGGTATTTGCTTTAAGTCATTACTGTTGCGGGCGTTGGGTGTAGACTCGATGAACCAGGATTCAGTAATCAATCTTTCTCTCCACCTACATAGATTACTTCTTAGAATCTTAACCCTCTCCCACCCTATTGTGTGGTTGTGTGTTATTGCATGTAATGCAATTGCCGAGCTTTTTTCTAAATTACTCATCTTCTCGGGGTCAACCATTCTTACCTTAACTAAATTCTTATGTTCCGACAATCTGATTACCCCTGATCTACTAGTTTGACCTATATAGTTGACCTCACAGTCATTACAAGGTATTTTGTAAATTATATTATTTTGTTTAATTGAGTCCACCGGGTCTTTCAGCCTACAGAGCTTGTCTCTGAGTGAGTTTTTAAGTTCAAATGCCACCCTAATTCCTACTTAATTAAGAATCCTACGTAGGGTCTCAGATGTCCCCTCCTTATATGGTAAAACTGTGGATGCCTTATATTCTCTCTTAGTTATATTATCATTACAAGTTTCACCATTATTTTTATTTTACTTTTGACATTTTCTGATCTTCCTAATGAATTTTGTAGGATAGTTATTTAACACCAACGCCTCTTCTATTCAAATATCTAATCAATTCCATACATATATATAAATGAAGGAAAAAGTTGTGTAAGTTGATATGATTATGAGCAATAATTTGTGCTCGAAACATCATCAGTTAATATTACTGTGTAACACTGTGTGATTTATCAAAATAAAATCTTATCCATAATGAAGTTATACTCTACCACAGTGCCCAAGTTTTATACTTACACAGTATTTCATTGATTAAAATCACAGAAATTAACCAGTTTCACACATTTATTCCCCTAAATGAATTTGAGCAAATAAAGGACTACAGTTTTAGCAGAAAAAAGTGGTACCATCTTTTATTTCGTTACCTTCTCGTCAGCTGCCCACAGGGCAAAGACATCATTATATGTATGTACAAAAACAATTTTAACATACTTGCGCAGAGTTCATTTTAAACAAAAATCAATCGATCGATATATGCATACAGTCATTATATATATATATATATATATATGTAAAATTAAACACTATTCCGAACAATAATAATCATACATTATGGAAACTTTTCAGTATTTCGCATCCAGATGAAAAAGAGATGAAAAAAATATCCAGTTACCAGGGCAAAGAAAGACTGATAATCGCTTCTTTCTGGACGCATAAATCAGGTTTCAGGTGCTTGATGGAAATGACTTCAGCAAACTTAAGAAGAATCGAGTTCTTTTGCCTATTGATAATTTTGAACAACTTTTCAACGTCCACCTCATGACCCGTGTCGAAATGCCTGGCTATGGCACTGTTTAAAGAATTTGTTCCCTTTAGACGTAAGCTTTTTGATACGTGTTCAGAAAATCATAGATATGCCCTTCTTTTTGTTCTTCCAATGTAACTGCTCCCGCAGATGCACGTAAATTTGTATATACAGTTGGAGTTAACATGAGAAGGATATCTATCGATTTTTGATTGCATCAAAGAGCAAGTTGTTCTATAGACGGGAACGAGTTTAGCTGCAGGATAGGCTATGGCTAGTGATGTGCTCAGCCTTCTGTTGATCATCGCTGCAATGTTTTCACCTTTATAATCAAGCTGAATGTAGATTGACTTTTACTGTGATTTGTTTTACATTTGTGACTTCATATCTTCCATACTTGTTGATGAACCTTTGAGGGTACCCATTGCTCTTCAATATCTTTTCAAGAAAATCAAATTCTTCCTCTAATTTCTCTATAGAGCATATTCTCTACGCTCTAAAGTACAGAGTCTTGACCAGTGCTCGTTTAAAGCTATTTGAACAAAAGCTATTAAAATGTAGGAATTGTCCTTTCCATGTAAGATTTCGATAAATTGACTTCTGAAGACTACCGTCTTCTAGGCGTTCCATGGCAATGTCGAGGAAGTGAAACTTACCGTCACTTTCATGTTCCATAGAGAACTCAATATTGGGGGGTGCATCATTGAATAATCTGAGTAAGTGTTAAGCATGACTTTCATTGTCGCACACTATAGATGTGTCATCAGCATTTCGACAGTAGGACTGCCTATAGCTACACCATCTGTTTGGCGGTAAAAAGTGTTGTCAGTTCACTTAGCCCTGTTTAAGCAGATATATTCATGTACAACCTTGAAAGAACAAAGTTGAAGCATGCGACCGACGAAACAACTTCCTATTGATCGATTGATTTTTGTTTAAAATGAACTCTGTGCAAGTATGTCAAAATTGCATTATAGGTAAATTTTGTTTTGATAAAGTCTCACAGTGTTATACAGTAATGTTTACTGATAACGTTTCGAGCACAATTTATTGCTCATAATCATATCAGGGTAATCACACCACTTCCTAATTTCATTTATATAGTTCCGTTGTTTTTCACTTGGTTTTCACTTGATTTGATTGGTAGTAATATTTTCCATATTTCGGGTATGAGTGATGAATCATTCCTATTGCATGTGTTGGGTGTAGATTCGATGAACAAGGATTCAGACATCAACTTCTCTCTCCACCATCCTAGATTACTTTTTAGAATAGGAATGATTCATCACTCATACCCGAAATATGGAAAATATTACTACCAATCAAATCAAGTGAAAAACAACGGAACTGTATAAATGAATTCAGGAAGTGGTGTGATTACCTTGTTATGATTATGAGCAATAAATTGTGCTCGAAACGTTATCAGTAAACATTACTGTATAACACTGTGAGACTTTATCAAAACAAAATTTACCCATAATGGAATTACACTCTACCACAGTGCACAAGTTTTATTCTTATATCTATGTTAAAATTGTTTTTGTAGATATATTTAATTATGTCTTTGCCCTGTAGGCAGCTGACGAGAAGGCAACGAAATAAAAGATGGTACCACTTTTTCCTGCTAAAACTGTAGTTCTTGATTTGTTCAAATTAAGGAGTGCTGAAGATAAGGTCAAGAAATAATCACTTTGTGCTTTATAAGTCAGTGTGATAAAAACAATTATTGATAATTCACTTAGCCATGTGTAAACTGCTAAGACTGTGATACTAATTCTAGGTGAACCAGCCTAATTAAACCACTTAATTTCAAATGGTCAGCGATTTCGACTCATTAGGTCACTTTCATCATATATGGCTAAGGTTTAGTTGTTAAGCAGTAAACTCCTGTGAGTTTTCCACACGTGTTTGCTTTCTTCATCAGATTTCAAAGTAGAAAGTTGGTATGGGGATTCATTGGGTCCCATTAATTTTCAGATGCACACTTTTGGATACTGTTATAAGAAGACTATATTTATACTAAAAATGTGATCTGTCTACTCAATGAATGTCAGACAACCTCATCACACATCTACTTGTCAAGTCAAATGAAAATGAAGAAAGGATGCGTCAGTTATAACCGAAAAGTAAAAAAATTGATTTGATTCCCATGAATGATTTGCAATGGCTTTAAAAGCTCTGCACACTTTGTTTCGAATTTCAGTATTTTTCTCGATCTGACTTATTTGTTAGTTTCTAGTAAGTTGGCGTTTAAGCATTATACGTTTCTATACAGATTTGAACTTCAATTGAAATGTTCTGCTTAATCATTTGAATAACAAAGATGTAGTATTCACTGTTCGGCACTCCTTCTGGTATTTACAGAAGTTAGAAATCATAAGTCATTGGATTCCGTCCGATTGGCTGAATGGTCAACGAGCTTGCCTCGTATTCTGAATGTCCTGAGTTCCAAACTAGGACGAAACAACTGTTAGTAATTCCTAGTTTTCAGTGATTCTTTAATTCATATCAGCCTGTGATCACATTTGAAACTTATCAAATCCCTACAACCTATTTCCTGGAAATGACTCATAAATACATACATATGTGTCAGATGAAGATGTCACAGAAGATTTGATTACTGGACTTATGTCCATCTGAATAATAAAATCTGTTCGCATATTGATTTATTCAAAAATATTATTGACATTAAAGGCAGCAATTATTTCTCGCTCTTTCGGTGTTTGGAAATGTTTGTGCTTCTAATGAATTTCAGTTGTAGACCATTTTGTGTCTTGTATAATTTTTTTAAGTTGATATTGACGTCCCCTTTGTTCAAAGTATTATCGAAAAGCACTTATGATGACTCGTTATTGTGTGCTTATTGATTAATTCAAGTTAACAATACAATAAGTAGGCAGTAATTTTACACAGTGAGTATGCATTAGTTAATTTATCTTATTTCATTGTTTTATTCCTAAATTTCATTATCATTAATGACGATTGACATCTTTAGGATGACGGTACTTTTACTTTATTTGGTTCGTTTAATTGTCTGTCTATCAACTCATCTGTATGCTTATCTGAATACCTGTCTGTTCATCAACTTCGTTCCTCAAATCGTACTTTAGTATGCAGATATTTATGAGTTTTGAAAGTGGTAAGCAGTGCTTATGATTATGATCACACGACTGAATATAACTTTTATCTTAAAACTGCGCGTGGTATATATATATATATATATATATAAGTACTGCATTATTACGTGTATGTGCATTTGTGCGTAATATTTTAATATTTTGAATGTTTTATAATGAATGTATCCTGTGATTTCTATTTAAAATAATAATACTAATCAGAACCATCATCACAGTCATCCTAACGGATACTTCATTTGGTAGACTGTGACACTTCGAGAAAAAGAAATCTGTTTCTGATTGACTCCTACAGGAGAAATCTTCGTCCACTGTGTATTATTTTCTCGATCATAATTCACGGATAAAAGTAGGAAATGTGTAGTGTTGGTCTTCATTTAATAACAGAATAAGGTAAATAATTAATTCTTTGCTTAAACTGTTTAAACTGACTTTTGTTTGTACACTGTTGATCATTACTAGGACAGATACTTATATTTTAAGAATGATGTTGTTGTGATTTCCAGATAAACTAGAATTTGAAAAAACAACTTTTGTTTGATTATTGACACCGATTGGAACGGGAATGAAAAATAAGCAATGATCAACACATTTTTAACTATACTCCCTACACCGTATGAAAACAAAGCATTGACGGTGCGCAAGACCGAATCTGGAACTATTCAACCTCAATTTTTAAGTTTATTTAATCAAATGGAATGAAATACAGTGGTTGTGTACCATTATAGCCTATGGGATAAACAGAGCTAAAGTATCTCAAATTCAGAAAACGTTCCTTCAATACATAATGATGTTTACCAGATTACTTTGCCTTTTAGTTAGTAATTTTTCCACCAGATAAATGAACAAGAGTGTAAAACACCACTGGGGTAGTTATACCAGAACTCATCCCACTGTGGTTAAATATTTTTGTAGAATGCCACTTAACATCCTTCCAAAATGCTAAAGTCAAGCAAATACCACAAGTCATTCGTGTATCGTAGGCAACAGTATGAAGACTAAAATGAATAGATATTTGGGTAAAATTCATTTATTGATGATTGAATATCTTTACAAAATGCCACTTACTTAATGCTCAACAGATGTTGTTTGAAGCCATAATATTTTTTGACAAAATAATCATAGCTTATATTCCTGTAGCACTTTTTACTTTTATTCATATGTGTATAAACAATCAGTGTAAAAGATGTGAGTAGATTTCAACAGTGCATGAACACGTGAAATTTTAATTATTATTTCTAAAAGTGTAGCTTCCTGGCTTAAAAATGTTTTCATGACTTAAGAACATTATCAAGCACCTTAATCTAGTGATTTCATTCGAATCCCTTCGTAAGAACCAAAGTGTAATGTTCCTAAATATGTTAACAGTTTATTCCATTTTAAATAGTAAATAACTGCTATTTTTACGTGATACTGTAGGTGTCGTGATGTTAAAAGAAACTTATTAGATTACTTCTATCACGTCTAATTTTAGCTCTTGTAAACGCAGTGTATTCAACGCTTTCATGAACGTTATATGATGTGATACATAAAAATAGACCAGAGAGAATTAGTAAAAGAAATATCTTTAAATGTCTGTATCCAAACTTTTCACAACATTGTTTTCATCTTTAATATAAGTGGTGAATTTCTACAATATATCTGGATGATCATGTGTTAACTTTTACAGAATCTAGTGTTTTAATAGGCACTTCTCAACCTATTGGTTGGACAGTGAGCAAGTGTTAACAACGCTGAATATCTTTGTTCACTACAATTTTTTCATCGAATTTTAAGAATAAAATTTTGTATTTGATCGATTTTAAGGTTGATTTCATCACTAACATCAAGAAAACCCTTAAACAATCAAGGATCAATGCGTGCCTGTCTTAGAGCCCTTCAAACTTTCTAAGTTAAAACTCCTCAGCTCCTGAAAAGATTGAAGTTTCTGTGATTAGCTTTGTTTTGAATATCTAAAGTTTCATCATCCGTTTAAGTAACTATGCACCTTCTAGAAGACAGCACTCAGTACAGAAATTGAAAATTATTTTCCCTTTGAGGTTATTTTATCAAGAAAAAATGAACCTTAATTGAATGACATTTGTTTTGCGCTTAAAAATTAGATGCCAGTATTCCGATACTTTCTCTTATTCAACTTTTTACGGTTCACTTGCTTTTGCCTAACAATCAAATTTATCTGACAATCCAAATCACACTTGTGCATATTTGATATTGGTTAGAAATCTTTGCAAATTAATTCCTAAGTTTTTACAAAATGAACTACTTTCAAGTGAGTTGGCAAAGGTCTAAGATTCGTTCTGTTTCACCGAACTAAATATACAAATGTTCACTTAAATGTGACTGACAAGTAATTGGAAGAGTAGAGTATTCGAGCTAATTTCTGTTTAGATACTTCTGTTTTGTTCAGATTTCTAATTCAAAATGAGACTTGTTTCTGTGTTGATCAAAGTTCATAGAAAACTTTAGTTACAGTATGATTTAATGTGAAAACATGTGTATGAGTGAACTTCTTTTCTGTCAACTACTATGTATGATAAAATATGATTTGATAATATCATCTATTTGGTAGAAAATGAAACCTCTCTGTTAGACATATTTTCCAGTGATTTGATTGCTTATTATTGTCAACATTTTAAAGTATCCTATGTCAACGTGAGTGAGATGTACTAGTCTTTAAACACCCAAACACTAACATTAGCGGTCCTAAATTAATATCTGCATAAATAAACTTTTTTCACAAAATTGCCCTTATCAATCTGTGTGTGGGAATAGATTGATTTGTTCACTATTAGGCTGATAAATTAATAAGGAGGAATACATTAAAAGTCATAGAAGAGAAACAAGATAATTTTTGTTTGTATCTGTTAATCAATCATATGAGATGATGCATGCCTTCTAAAGTTCACTTCCATAACTTGTGACTTTCTGTTTTTTGCCTTCCTTGTGTTTGTGTGATTTATCTAAATTGTTATTATTAAACATTCTTATTCTATACTGATGAAAGGGAGAATTGAAGCTTTTTATTTTTTTAGAAATCAAGGTATCAATAAAATGATCCAAAATCTTTCTGCGCTGCGTATATCTTCTTACTTTTCTTCTGTTTTGTGAAGTAAAGCTTTTCTACTGACAAATAAATATTTACGCCTTCTAAGTAATAAGATAAGAAAATGTTCTCATGGTCGCTTAATATACTTACCGATTTGTTGGAGGGTTTCATTTTGCGCTGACATCGGTAAGAGAACCATTGAAAAACCTGGGAGTACAGCAAGTGGAAAGTGAGGACAGTTAATCATCCAAGGCATTGAGAAGTGATCACACTGTGTCGTGAATCGGCAGAAGTTAGAATTCATGGGCCACTGGATCAAGTTCCAGTGGCTTAATGGTCCATGAGTTCGCCTTATAACCAGAAGGTCCTGCGTTTGAACCCTGGTGGGAGCATACTGATGCATAGTCCCAAACTAGGACGAAACGGCTATCCAGTGCTCCCAGGTTTTCCAATGGTTCTCCAACCAATGTCAGCTCATAACGAAATCCTCCAACCAACCAAACAAAATCCCTACAAACTAATACCTGATACTTAAGGATTTGCAAAATTTATTCTCCTCCAAATAAAAGTTATAGGAATCTAAAATAGTTTGTAATAGATCTCCTATCTGACTGTTCAAAGTGGAAACGAGGGGTAGAGTTTTTTATAACCAACGTTAGCTTGCATATTGACGAAAGCAAACAGATTAATTTTTTTAACCAATTCACCTTGTTGGTAGGGATATCAAATGATGTTTTATGCTTCTGCGCTCGAAATCTTATCACTTTAATTATGGGAAGAAGAAATATCAAGTTTCATGTTCAAGAAGAAAACTGTAGACTGTGTTAGAACAAAATGAATCAGAATTTCTTCTTTAAACGAGCTTGGATAGTTTTTGAAATGCACTGAAAATAACAAGTTAAAAAGTGAATTATAAAACCTGTCGAAGAAACATTTCCTAAAACTGTTTCCATAGTAGCGTCTTAATAAAGCCGTGTTCTTAGATAAGTTTCCATAATCTTAAAGATTATCTATGGTGTGGTATTATTTTCTACGATATAGTTTGAAAGTTAAGACACTTTCAGCTTATTCCTAGCTTCTAGAATGATTCCAAGACTATGTATTATATGTGCTTTAATACTTCACAGCAGACACAAGAGAACACTTGTAGTTACTGGCTGATGCTGAAAGTGAATAACAGATGCATTTTCCCTATTTATGTTAAAAACTACATTCTTACAAATCCTTTGCATTTTACATTCATAAAATGAATGTTGTGCCACCGACGCACATGATGCATATTAAACGCTGCTGAATATTAAACCTGCCTCCAGAGTTGAATACCAATGACTAATTACCACATAATTGTGTTCAGATATATACGAACAGTATAGTTTATAGATTAAAATATTTTAATTTCTAATTCCTCCTAGTTTTGATAGCAAATAGATGTTTAAAAAAATCAATGAACCACCTGTGTCGCCGAAGATACACACACTAATATTCACAAATGTAAACAAATTACTGCAATATTTTTCGCCATAAATTAGCCTGTATTATTGTATTAGCTAAGAAATATACACAGAGTATTAGCCAACTTTACTTCTAAGTTTAAGAAAATCTGCAACTATTCACACTATGTTAGTGTTTGGCTACTACAAATTACAAGTTTTTCAGTTAGCAATACTAGCATACCATTAAACAGAAAAATAATGTATAATATTACTAAAATATTTTATAGGTAAGCAATAAAAATACTTTCTGAATAACCTAACGAAAGTTTGACTGAATTTGTGGTTGATACAGTAATCCTAATTTACACTTGTTATGTGTTTCAGATAAAACAGTTGTTTGAGGTTACTGACTTTTGATTCTTTTAAGAAGCAGAAAAAGATGTAGCGTTTTTCAGTCATTCGAAAAGTCACCATTTTGTTCGCTTATTTATCTTAGGCACTATGTTTTGTGAAGTTATTTAATTCTCTTATCTCTTTATAAATAAACTGTCTAATATTGTGTTTTATGACTTCAACAGAAGTTTGCTTTACTGCTATTGCTTCAGTTGTTACCTGACTGGTCTCCAAATGATACACATGGAACCTTTTTGGTATTTTCACCCGTCAGTTAATGTCATATTTATTAGCTAAAAGAAGGTAGTAAGGTATTGATATTATTCAAACAAATCAGTGATTTCATTGGGGATGGAAATTATGCCCATTTGATTAATGCCATTTATCACACTTGCTCTGCCTTACAGACAAATAGTAAACTTCCCAAAACTCTTATCTTTTCAGATTCGTTTCTTCAGTTATACCACTTGTGAAAATGTTTGCTTTCATGAGTGACATTTTATGTGTGAAAAACTGCTTCA